AAGACATTAGTAAACTCGATTATAAATAATAAAACGTGAAGTTATCACAAAATGGCTGATAGTTGATATCCATGTAAGGCATGTAGATAGTAGATATCTATGTAAGGCATTTTAAATGTTTGAAAATCATTAGGGAAATTTATACGACTATTTTTATGAACTTACGTACATACATATATCCGTTTATGTAATATAGTGAAAGAAGAATCAGTTCAGTGTGAGTTTCTCAATCGTAGAAGAGCTAGGGTTAGAGCAAAGCAAAAGCACTCGCTAATACTAAAAAAAAAGTTTTTCAAAAAGGATTTATTTAAAAGTAGCCTCTGGTTTTAAGTTAGTCTGTGAATAGAAAATATCGACACGCACACAGTAAATTATGCTCAACTACGAACACTTCAATTACACTTTTATTACTATACCAATAAGATTCATTTTCTATTATATCATTCTATTATTTCAAAAACTGATTCCATTTCATTGTAATTTGTAATAAACAGGAAATATTTTTCAAAGTAAAATCAAGTAATAAATGTTCTTCCGAAACATTACAAGATTACAAATTTTGATAAAACTTTAACGTTTTCAAATTATACAGAGATTAACGGCTGTATTATAAAAATCTATTAAACTTCATTTAGCTATTATTACAGGGAATTAACATAAAAAAAAATATATTTTTAACCGACGAAAAAAAATAGGCTATCAATTCGATACATATATTTTTAGAACAAGCATTCAATTTAAAATTTTACTAAGATTTAAGATGTCTCAAAGGCATTATATATGTAGTTGTTACATACAACCTACCCAGAAAATTATAATATGAATGAAGAAAAGGACCAAGTCGGGAATTAAAAATCAAAATAAATCCAAGAAAAATCCGATAAGATAGTTTTATTTAAAAAATACATTTAATTTAAAATTACATGTTCCCATAATGGATGGTGGGACTCCCATTAATTTTTACTTTATTTTTTTCGTTTCGTAGGAAATCCACTACAGACTAACATATGTAATATAGGTCTAACAGTTTTGACCTTTTACGTATAGCAAGATAAACAAAAAAAAAAGTGTTTTATTTTGTCATACTAAAAAATAACCACCAAAGTCAAAGTTAGAAAAGACTAATTAAATGTCTTCCAAAAAGTTATCGCAGAAGCCTTTACATACATGCTGAATTAATACATAGGCTATTATAATTCTCACTTCAACTTTCTTCAACGTCAACTAATAATTTATTACTCAAGTAATATAACTTCAAATGAGAGCAATAATTGTCATTAAAATTGTGGATATTTGCTATATCATAGCTCGAGTTCTTCATTTAGCGGACCTAAATAACGGAAATATTCCGTGTTTAATAATTCAATAGAAATACATAAGAGTGTTGTAGCTGTAGTAGTGAATCTAAATAAAACAAAAATTATGACAAACAGCAAAAAAGGAAAAATTAAGTTAGACGGTGTCGAACTAGAGTATGTAGAGCAGTACATATACTTAGGAAAACAAGTGTCTTTTTGTAAAACAAATAATGAAGAAGAGGTCAGGAGAAGAATTACAAGCAGCTGGAACAAATACTGGGCACACAAGGAAATACTAAAAGGTAACTACGATCTAGATATAAAAAAGACTGTCATGGACACTTGTATTCTGCCTTGCTTGACCTACGGCTCTCAGACTTGGACGTTTACAAACAAGATAAAAAACAAAATAATAACTTGTCAGCGGGCAATGGAAAGAAGTATGCTGAGCCTAAGGAAAATTCATAAAGTAAAAAGCAAAGACATACGAAGAAAGACAAAACTCACAGATGCTCTACATCAAGCACTAAAACTAAAATGGCGCTGGGCCGGACATGTGGCGAGATATACCGACCAGCGATGGACACTCAAAACAACTAAATGGACGGGCCCACAGGGAAAGAGAGCAGTGGGAAGACCAAAAAAACGATGGGTAGACGACATATTAACAGTGGCGGGGAAAAATTGGACCGGAGCAGCGCAGGACAGGGAAAAATGGATGGAATTGGAGGAGGCCTACACCCTATCAAAGGGGTTCCTATAAAGAACATTAATAATATTTAAAAGTTATTACTAACACTAGAAGTACTCACTTACTAACATTAGTTTTAATTATGCATATTGTAATTATTTTATATTTTTTTATAAGGCTTATAGGAAATAAAAAGGCTTTATTATTATTATTTTCATGTATATTGTCTCAACTTTCGTTGGTATTTAGTTTCCGAAGACGGGCATCTGCCAAGTCTTTCGGGGGCCCTATGGGGATAATGATGAGGGGTTTAGGAATCGACGTACTATCGAGCATGTGTCTAGAACTATTGACTTTTGTAACTTAATATATGTTGATTTGTGTAATTCTAACAATTCTATAGATTTATGTAGAGTTTTGGGTACTACACCTGTGGATGAAAGAATTATAGGTACTATCTTTATTGAGCTTTGGTGCCACATATCTTTAATTTCGTCTGCAAGTGGAATATATTTTTGGATCTTTTCTTGATGCTTGGTTTTCAGATTTTCGGTGTTAGGTATGGATATGTCGATGAGGTAAGTGGTCTTTGAGGATTTTAATGTAAGTGTGATATCAGGTCTGTTGCATGCTATTGTTTTGTCTGTTATTATATCTACATTCCAATATAGTTTGACTGTTTCATTTTCAAGGACATTGGTGGGTATATATTTGTAGTAAGGCGTGTATGTACTAATTAGTTTATGATTCAATGCTAAGCTTTGGTGTATCTGTTTCGCAACGTTGTCATGTCTTTTGATATATTCTTTTGTAGCTAATATCTTGCAGCCTCCTGTTATGTGATCTATTGTTTCCTTGTTTTGATGGCATAACCTACATAAATCTGTCTCTATTGATTCTTTAATTACGTAATTAGAGTAGTTTCTAGTTTTAATAATTTGGTCTTGGATAGCTATAAAGAAACCTTCTGTTTCGGCAAATATGTTACCTTTTATAAGCCATGTATTTGAAGCTTCCTTGTCTATGTGAGTCTGTTCGAGTTGGTGGGGGTATTTACCGTGTAGTGCTTTTTTCTTCCAATCTTCTACTTTTTTTTGCTCTGTTATTATCTTTGTTTCAGGTTCATAGTCTCTGTCATTGAACTGGAGGGGGGTACCAGCTGTGGTCAGTGTGGTAATAGCTTTGTGTAGCTTGCTGTTATTGGCTTTACTAAGAAAATATGAACGCAAGTTTTCTATTTGGGTATAATGTAAATTTTTAATGTCGATAAACCCGCGACCACCATGTTTTCTTTGTAGTGTGAATCTTTCAGTTGATGTGTGAATGTGATGAATGTTATGTTTGTTTGCTTGAGAACGTGTCATTGTGTTTAGGGCATTTAGGTCTGTGTCGGTCCACTTAATAATTCCGAAAGAGTACATAAGTATGGGGACTGCGTATGTGTTGATGGCCTTGGTTTTGTTTCGAGCGGATAGATGGGTTTTGAGTATTGTATTGAGTCTTTGACTGTATTTTGTTTTAAGGGCTTGTTTTATGTCTGTATGATTTAAGCAGGTGCTTTGCTGGTATCCTAAATATTTGTATATTTCTTTTGAATCCATAGTGCTTATAGCGCCTTCCTGTAGTGTTAGATTGTATGTTTCTGTTTTCTTGTGCTGTCCTTTTGATATGCTGTTGATTTTACATTTGTCAGTTCCAAAATTCATTTTTATATCATTGCTAAATTGTTCTGTTTGTTTTAATAAATGGTTAAGTTGGTTCCTGTTTGATGCATATAGTTTTATATCGTCCATATATAACAGATGTGTGATTTTAACTTTAGCTTCTCTATCTATTGTATATCCGTATTCGGTACTATTTAATATGCTGGACAAAGGATTTATTGCAAGGCAGAACCATAAGGGGCTTAGGGAATCTCCCTGGAATATACCGCGCGCAATTTTAATTGGTGTTGTTGTAAGATTGTCTTTTTCAGTGCGTAGTGCCAATGTGGTCGTCCATTTTTTCATCATGTTTTCTAAGAAATGTATGTATGTAGTAAGTAATGTATTAACCAGGAGTGTGGTACACTGTCAAAGGCTTTTTCATAATCTATATAGGCATAAAAAAGGTTTCTGTGTTTTTGTTTTACTTGGTTGTGTATTTCTGTATCTATTACAAGCTGTTCTTTGCATCCTTTCGAGCCTTTGCAGCAGCCTTTTTGTTCTTCGGGGATTATCTTGTTTTGCGTGATATGTATGTTGAGTTTGTGAGCGATGATGGATGTAAGAAGTTTGTATATCGTGGGTAAACATGTTATGGGTCTATATTTGGCGGGATTGGTTGTGTCTGCGTCTTTCGGTTTTAGATATGTAATTCCTTGTAATAGAAATGTTGGTATATTTTGTGGTTCTTGTATGAGTGTGTTGAGTGCATTGGCCAAATATGCATGTGTAGATGTAAAATATTTAATCCAGTAGTTTTGTATTTTGTCTGGGCCCGGTGCCTTCCAGTTCAGTGTTTTTCGTATAGCTGTTTCTATATCGCTTTTCTCTATTTTAAATTGTGTCATGTTTTCTATATTTTTAACTCTATTTTCCTCTAATTCTATCCATTTCGCGTTCTGATTATGGTATACACAGTTTCCCCATCTATCTTCCCAGAATTTTTGTACTTGTGTCATATCAGGTGGCTGAGTTATTGTGTGTGTTTTGTGTAGGTTACGGTAGAATAATTTTTCATTATAATTGAAATTTCTGTTTTGTAATTTACGTAGATTACTTAATTTATATCGGCGCAGTCGTTTTGATTGAGCTGCAAGTTTCTGTTTATTTTTGTCTAATTCTTCAACTACTTCGTTCCTATCTTTCCCATTAACTTTTATTTTTTCTTGTTTCTTTTGTGATAATTTTCCGTTGAGATGTTGTGTTAATTGTCCTATTTCCTTACGTAGTTTTGCAATTTTTGTTTCTATACGTTTTTGCCATGCTGGTTTGTTCTCAGTAGTTTCGGTTCTTTTAATATTTTTCTTATTTAGGTTGTTTTTTTTCTATGTGTAGTGTTGTGACTGTTTTAGCTGCACAGTATATTATATCATGTAAATTTTCGATTGTCGTATCGTCATTATTTTGTAGGTATGCTTTAATGATTTGGTTGATAGTATTTACCGTTTTAATAGTTTTTCGACATGTTTGTAATTTTGGGATATGTGGTCTGAGTGTTGGGTCCGTTCCTTTAAATTTTATTAACAGTTCTGTAAATGTTGTATATATTTTTTCGTACTCAAGTTGTGTGTGGTTTTCATTTTCTATATTCATCTGTTGTGATGGTGTAATTTGATGTTCTGTAATAAGAGTCTCTGTATCATTACTGTTTTGTGTGTACTGTGTGTATAAGTGAGCCATTGCTGTCTGTGTATCGGTATTTGTCTCTTCTTCTGTTGTATTATTGTCTTGTATATTTGTAAATAATGTATTTTGCGTTGTGTTTTCACTGTGTTCGTTATTTTCCCTATTGATTATTTCTTCAATGGTTTTCTTTATTTTTTCTCTTGTTGTTGCAGGTATTCTATTATTTCTGTGTATGACTCGTATTTGATCTGATAGTCGTTGTTCCGTAATGAAATTTAATTCTGGGTACTTTTGGACAAACATTCGGTGTAGTAATGGTCTGTATGCGGTAAGATTGGTCTCCAAGTTAGTGACGGTGTAATAGCAACGGAGTAACTCGATATTTATTTATTATTATTATTATTATTAGCTGTAGTAGTCCAGTGGTAACGAGCTCGCTTGGAAATCCAAGTGAAGCGGGTTTGAATCTCGGGTTTCGCACCCCTAGTATTTTTATGTGGGAATAATTTCTAACATGATTACCACTTGTCTTACGGTGAAGGAAATCATCGTGAGGAAACCTGCATGTCTAAGAAACCCTAGTAAGTTATTGGAAGACTTGTGAAGGATTTTATTATTATACATAATTGAAAAGCCGAAAACGGTGGCTTGTATGTACATTTCCAAATAAAAATATAAGAAGAAAATGATTAAATTATGTTCTAAATGACGTCACTTAGCAGAATTGCTATTCCTGACAGGCGTTTTAATCATTAAAAAAGGTTTTACATTTTTCCACAATAAAAACAATAAATAGCTTTCCTTCTTAAATTAATGACTGAGCATTTCTTTTCAACCGACTTCAAAAAGGAGGAGGTTCTCAATTCAACTGTATTTTCATTAAATATTATGTGTTTGGAGACAGTTGTAATTTTATTATCCTAATCGATTGAATCGTTATCGATTTTCTGATAAAGATTTCGGTAAACAATAAGTGTATTTCTTAAATATCCATAGAGCGGCTACTTTATAAATGTGATAGTTTGTACGATTGTGTATGTTTGTTTGTATGTATGTGTATAATAGTTAATCCTTTACGCTGTAACAGATTAGCGGGTGGACGGATTTGAATGAAATTGAGTGCATAGGTAAATAATATAGGGATTCACGTTAGCATTGCGGAATGTACTTGCTGTCCATTGTACCTACTTATAATTGTGCTAATGACAAATTTCTAACTAGCCCAAAGAATATAACACATGTTAATATTATGTATATATTTATTAACAGCCATAGTCTTTATTTATATAGGCAATGAATGCATTTCAGTAATTTTTTCTCCTCTGTTTGTCAACCGATTGTTTTTATATATTGCTTAGCAGCTATTGACGAGCTTTAGTGTTATCAATAAAAAAATATTGAAACGTTTAATTCTTTTATAAATAGGTAAATATATTGTATATAGGTAAATATAGGTAAAATATGGAATAGATAGTCTGTAAGTCTAAGAAATGATTGATTCGTATCCAAACTAAGGGATGATTTTCGGTATAAAAGCTATCCTATGTCCTTCCGAGGGTCTCAAAGTATATTCATACTAAATAATAAATGGTTCAGCGGATTTTTAGTTTATCCATTACTAGCAAACATACAAAAAACAATTCTTTTCTTTTTATAATACATAGTATTAAAGTACCTAGTACAGATTATTTTATATTAGGTATATAGACTAGAGAACTATGTCAGTTTTATAAAAGTAAAAATACACTTGCCAGGTCACCATCTATACTGCTATACTAATATTATAAAGAGGTAAAGTTTGTGAGTTTGTGACGTTGTAGGGGGTAATCTCTGGATCTACTGAACCAATTTAGATGAAATTTGGTAAGAAGATAGTTTGAGACCCTGGGAAGGATATAGGACTTTTTATCCCAAAAATCATCCCTTAAGGGGGTGAAAATGGGAATGAAAGTTTGTATTGGGAAGTAAGCTAGGAACGAACCCGAGCCAAGAGAGGGTGAGTGGCTAGTACTAGATAAAGCAAAACTTTACTGTTTCTCGTAAAATCGTGGGCCCTAAATTGGAGATTCTGAAGCTATAAAATAGTCTTATATTAAATATAAAAATATAATTTAAATAGATTTAAATTTTAGATAGTACTGCAATAAATACCTTTGAAGTAAAATGGGAATGAAAAAAGTTAATATCAAGAACTAGGTTACACAAATCACATCAATAATATGAATTGGTATTTGTTTGTTTGTATGTAAAAGCTATTCTCTAAAGCTACTAAATCTATTCTAAAAATTTTCTATACAAAGCTTCATTATGCTTGAGTAACAAAATTCGACGTATTACACAAGCAAATTCTCAGGCAAAATTATCTATAAAGATATAATATAAATATGTTGGGACATTAACACACAGCGCCATCTAGCTCCATGGTAAGCTACAATTTGTGTCATGGATACAAGATAGTTGATACACTACACATATATAACTTTAAATTACATACATATTATAAATATAAACACCATGACTGGAGTACAAATATTCGTGCTCATCACATACATGAATGCCCGCAGCGAGACTCGTACCCACGACCCCTGGCATAGCAAGTAGGGTCACTACTAACTGAGCCATACGAGTCGTCAAAATGAATATAATTTATGATATGTCACCCACAGAAGTCCATAAAGATGTAAAAATTAGATAAACGCAAAAGAAGGTTCTATAAAGTATAAGAACGACAAGAGCTTTTGAAGCCATGAAAAAATAACCTTACATAAATGAGATGCTGACGTCAGCCGCCTACTTAATCGAACACTTGTAACAAATTCGAAGGAAATACATTGTTTTTACAATGCTTTTAAGATGATTCAAAGACTTTTTCAAATTGACTGTGAGGTCGTTTTCTTCATAAAATTTTAACTTGTGACTCAATAGCGTTAAACTGACTTTCAGTCGGAGCCCGTAGATTCTATGTTATGTACGTATTTTACGATACGGCTAGTTTTATCTATAATATCAAGTTAGCACTGATTAAAGTTAGTATCGGACGACCGAGCTTCGCTCGCAGTTTTATCAGAGAAGTAAAAAAGGATTTTTTCATACAACTCAAAAAGAAAATCTAAATACAAAATTTGATCGAAATCGTTAAAGCCATTTCTGAGGCACATGAAATAAATTTATATATATATATATATATATATATATATATATATATATATATATATATATATATATATTGTCGGGAAATAAAAATAAATCCACAAAAATCTGAAAAGATAGTTGTATTTGTATAGGCAACAAACTAATTTCAGATATAATTTTCTCAGTTTAACCTCTACATAAAACACTTAATCATGCAACTTATTTTATGGTATCTAGTAGTCTGCACTTCCGACAGTTGCGGTGATTCATTTGAATGCGAACTATGTTAAAAGCTTTTACAAAACAATTTAAATAAGCTGTTATATTTGTTTAGGTGGTTTTTTTGAGAATATTTACTTTATTATTGATAATCCGTATTATTATTTTAATATTATAAATATGAATGTTTGTGAGTATGTATGGATGTTTGTTACTCTTTTACGTCAAAACGGCTAAACGTATCTGGATGAAATTTGACACAGAGATAGATAACACATAAATTACTTTTCAACCCGGAAAAATACGATTCCCGTAGGATAGGTTTTTTTTTTGGTTGAGGCGAACCCGAGCGAAGCCAGGGTGACCTGCGAATAATATAATATATAACTATATTTTTTAAATGAGGCTTGGTTTAGAAAAGTAAATGTAGTCATGGTTTCAATTTATGAGCGAAAGCTCAATTCTAAAACAAACAGTGTGACGATATTTATATTCTGAAGAAAAAAAAATGTTGGTTTTGCCTATTTATATGTTATATGTGCTACTTCATGTTATGTTATAATATCAAATCCTATAAGAAAGTGAAAACATTCATGTGTTTGTACTTACAAATCTCCAGAATTACTGAGCAAATTTTAATGGAACTTTCAACGGTTTATAGAGACGATACGTGTAAGAGTAAAATAGTCATAAATAATCTACACGATTTTATATAAATATAAGCTCCTTGATTCAACTCTTGCTTCGTCACTCAGGCAAAAATGCAGACCTAGCGAACTGAACAATTGACAATATATGTTATATATAAGTTTTTAAACTTTCATGGCAACTGATAATAATATTATTGTGATGTAAAGTGAGCCGATATATTGGGAAATCTCAAAGTAGTAAGTGTTAGACATGGTAAATATCCCATTTTACATCATAATAATATGTACATTCATACTAAATATGATAAATGTGAAAGTGTGTTTGTTTGTTTGTCCTTTTTACGTCGAAACGGAATGATATATTGGTATGATTTTTTGCGTGGAGATAGTTGGAGGACTGGAAAATGACATAGGCAACTTTTTACCATGGAAGATTATCTCATTCTCACGGGAAAAGACGTTATAATACAACCCAAAAAATATTTATGATCAGAATTACTTAAAACTTGGTAATAATGTTCTTCAATATAATGAATAAATACGTGTTTTAGCATTATTAGAAACTGTTATAACACGTAAGGGAGTAAAATAAGGGACGAAAGTTTGTATGAAACCAACCTTTTTACACTTTTTATTTGTAGTTTTGGCGCGAGAAAAGCTGCGGGTTCTGCTAGTATTTCTATTATTAAATAAGTAACTATGAAAAAATTTGGAGTTCAACACCAAAAAGGTCAAAGGGATGGTAAAATTTTAGATTTTGAATTAAAACAAAAGCCCAGAGAGCTTAAAGCAGACGTTTTATATAGATGTGATAAAAAAAATCCTCAGCTTTTACCGCGTGACCTTTATATAGATGCCAATACACCTTCCCGTATACCGAGGCCACTCTGAATCAGCTCTAACGAATCTCCGGTACGACGTTCTAATATAACGTCCGTACCTACACTGTTTGTTCGAGCTTTTTTTTCTTTTACAAAGCTTAATTGTGATGATTTTAGTATCGTTTAAATGTTTTCTTTATCTATCTATTATAGACTCGTAGCTTACCATGGAACTATATGGCTAGTTCCATGGTAAGCTACGAGGCTTGTGCTATGGATACCAGATAGTTGATACACTACACATATATAACTTTAAATGCATACATATTATGAATATAAACACCCATGACTAGAGTACAAACATTCGTGCTCATCACACAAAGGAATGCCGCTAGCGGGATTCGAATCCGCGACCGCTGGCACAGCGAAAGTGTCACTACAAACTGAGCCAAACATATCGTCTGAAGATTAAAGGTGTCAA